CGGGAGGATCTCCGAAGCAGCACTTTGCGCAGAAATTCACGCAGAACAGCAGGATATGGACCTGCAAGAAGAAAGACACAAGAAAAGGACATTAGCACCGGAGTTTGCTTTCCATACTCAGCGACGACACAACTACTACAACAATCGACAGCAGCAGCCGAAGTTAGTACCTCCTTTTTGCCACATCTGCAAGACATCAGGACACCCACGCACGCACTGCCCGTCTCGACAGACAACACCACAGCGACAACTGCGGCCTTCAAGCACCCAAGTTGCTTCTACACAAGCAAGTTCGACAACCACGATTCAAGCTTCAACGACCTCAACTGGACAACCTGCACAAGGAGCAAGACATATAGTCAACTGCATGGTCAAGATAAACGACTCTTGCATAACAGAGTCACCACCCCATTACTCACCGGAAGAGGAGCTCGACAACAGGACGCCTCGTCGCGAATCACTCCATCCAAATCCGACTTACGCCGCTATCGCTCAAAGTGAACTGTCCGGCCAAGACACCTGGTTCTTGGACAGTTGCTGCGGGCAACACATGTGCTCGTCCGGGCGTTTCGTACAACGCGAACATCGACTCCAACGGGAAGTGATCATCACGGTTGCCAACAACCAAAACCTGCGCACACGAAGACAAGGAGTGGTACAGCTTCAGTCAAGAGAAACAAATGTCATACTACATATGTCTAAGGTACTCATCGCAGAAGGACTCGGCTACAACTTACTAAGCGTTAGCCAGTTGATGGCGAAAGGAATTCATCTGGAAGCCGACAGCACGACCCAGGAGTTCAAGCTTTACCACGGAAGAGGCGGTCTCTACATCGGGAAAGCAGTGCTGAAGAACAACGTCTTCGTCCTCGACTTCGCTCCCGACCTCGGCACTGCAGACAGCGACGCCATTGTGAACTTTGCTGAATGGACACACCCTCCGGATCTCGACCCCGACTTCAGCCCGGGAGGTTTCTGGTACTCCCACACTATCCCTGAAGCAGAACGAACAAGAGCGTTAGCAACGATTCAACAAGAAGCAGCAACAACATCGACAGCAGCAACAACATCGACAGCAGCAACAACATCGGCGGCAGCAACAACATCAGCAGCAGCAGGAACAACGACACCAGTCACAGTCGACGTAGCACCACCAACACCCGCGCAACAGCTGAATCCGACTCAGCGTGAAGTCCACCGAAGCGCCAACCTCGTCGCCAGCTTTTACTCCAACTCCGACGCATATCAGCGTTCACCCGGACACCGCGCCTCTGAAGAGATCTGGCACGCACGCATAGGACATCCAAGCAACACGGTTTTGAATAACACGATAAGAGCAGGAGTCCTCGACAAAGACTCTCTACTTCTACCCGATGGCAGAGAACTCCAGAAGGCACGAGGGACTTGCCTTATATGTCCCGAAGCTGACTTACCTCATCGACCGTTTGCTTCACATCACAACCCGAGCGCTCCAGCGTACGCACCACTCGAAAAAGTCTACAGCGACATCCTCTACAATCGCGAACCAGGACAAGTCAACTACAACTACACCATCACCTTCATCGACGCTGCTACTCGATACGTCTGGCATCGCAACCTACCCAGCCGCGACATGGCGCTCGCAGCATTCGCCGCCTGGCTACCGATAGCAGAAAGAGAGTTTGGAACACAACTGAAAAATTTCCAGTCAGACGGAGGTGGCGAGTACACCTCTCAGCGCTTCAAGCAGTTCTTGGCGGAAAGGGGGATCAAGCAACTCCTCTCCCTTCCCTACGCACATCAGCAGCAAGGTGTTGCAGAACGACTGAACAGGACCCTGCAGAACAGCATGCGCAAACTGTTACGTGGCATGCGGCTACCCAACCACCAGTGGCCAGCAGCAATGGACCACGCTGTCATACTGCACAACTTGTTGTCGTCGTCGTCACTCCCGAACAACGCATCACCGCATCTGCTGTGGACAGGGAAGCAGGGCAGCACGAAAATGTTACGAGTTTTCGGGTGCATGGTACAGTACAGACCCCCAGAAGCAAGAGCGGGAAGATTTTCGCAACGGGCACAGTGGGGACTACACCTCGGCATCGAGAAAAATTACAACGCATGGAAAATCTTCGACGTCCACACAAAGGAAACAGTAGCAGCACGTGACGTGATCTTCTACAAAAGACTCACCCTTCAAACGTACCTCGCCAACTTGCACGAGAATCGGGACCTCACCAGTGGTTTTCGTGGTGACCGAGCCTTCGCGTCAGCAGCGGACGAAGCAGACTGGGATGAACAGAACGTCGACAACGCCTCAGAAGAAGCCGGACCTCTCCCATACTGCTCCGTCGACGTGCCCATGGATGAGGATAATCCTCGCGACAGTAACAACGCCGAAATCTTCTACCGTTTCGCCGACGATGGTTACGTAACACCTGTGACAGTCAACACCAACGAAGCAGAAAGGGTAGGGCCAAATTTCATGCCCGACCCAGAAACGGGAGACGAAGCAGCTTATCCCGAGGATCCAGAACTCCCTCGATACTCACAGACTGGGCTGCAAATCCTTGGTCTCGTCACCGCAGTCCATGGCGCCGGCATTCCTGAGGAGCCTGCGACGGTTCAGCAGGCTCTGGGGGGGGAACTTAGGGAGAAATGGCGTGAAGCTATGGACAAAGAGCTGAAGGCACTAGAGGAGCGCAACACCTGGAAAATTGTTCCCATCGGCGTAACTCAAAATAAAAACATTCTTACCGGAAAATGGGTCTTCCGTGTGAAGACGAAAGCTGATGGCACCATCGACAAATTCAAAGCCCGCTGGGTCGTACGTAGCTTCGACCAGGAGCACGGAAGAGATTACACCGAAACCTTCGCTCCGGTCAGTCGCCACACCTCACTCCGAATCCTCATCGCCGTCGCCGCCATGAAGAAAAAGAAATTGCGACAGATCGACGTTGCGAACGCATTTCTCTACGCACCTGTGGATGCAGAAATCTTCGTTGAACTCCCGCACGGCTCCCACGGCGAACCCAACCGAGTGTGTCAACTACTCAAATCACTCTATGGGATCAAGCAGGCACCGCGACTGTGGCAGCAGTACCTACACGCCCGCCTCATCCGCATCGGCTTCAAACAACTCCCGCATGACCAGGGCATGTATCGCCTCACAAAAGGAGGCGATTACGTCCTATTAATCGTCTATGTGGACGATCTTCTCTACATTGGGTCAACCGACAACATCGCCGCGTGGTTCGAAGGGGAGCTCCAGAAAGACCTCACGCTCACGGTCTCTTCTACGGTTACGCAATACCTCGGGCTCAACATCCGTGAGGAAGAAAACGCAATCTACCTAAGCGCCGAGAAGTACGCCGACACTATCGCGAAACGCTTTCGTCTCACACCAAGCGCCATCTCCACGCCTTATCGCTACGCGTCAGGAACCGAAAAGGGGCAATCTACTCTACTTAAACCCGCCGGCATACGCGACTATCAGAAGAAGCTAGGATGCCTTCTTTTCGCAGCAGTCACGTGCCGTCCCGACCTATCCTACTCCGCGAGTCAGCTCGCTACCTATCTCAAAAGACCTGAAGCAGAGCATCTGGCGGAACTCGATCGTGCTCTCCACTACTTCGTCAGCACCGCGACGATCGGACTAATTTATCACAAAAACGTGACTACACCGACCAAACTAATCGGCTACGTCGACGCCGATCACGCCGGCGACACCGACAACAGGCGCTCACGCACCGGCTATGTCTATCGCCTTGAGCCTATCGGTCCTATCTCCTGGCAGTCAAGCAAGCAGGAGTTAATCGCACTATCTTCAGCAGAAGCAGAATATATCGCACTCTGCTCAGCCACCAAGGAGGGACTTTACCTTCGCGAACTACTGGAAGAAGCGAAACTAGCCGAGTTACCCAGCTTCACCGTGTTCTGCGACAACCAGTCGGCAATTCGCATCGCCAACAAAAACGGCTTCGCAAACAGGACGAAACACATCGCCCTGCGCTATTTCTTCGTGAAGGACGAGATAGAAAAAGGGAAACTCGATCTGTCATACTGCCCAACATCCGAGATGGCAGCCGATTACTTGACCAAGAAACTCGGAAAGCAGAAGTTCGAATACTGCATGATGCTGACTGGACAAGGCCACGTCACCAGCAGCGACACTCCAGAAGCGAAGGGGAGTGTTGGAAACAATAAGTCCTAAGTGCGCTTCTGTCGTATCAAAACCCAAGGCACCAAGCGAAGCAGTCCCAACCGAAGCATCGAGTCAACCTCGGAGGTTAGGATAACCGCCTGGAGGTTACGAGAAAGTCAAAGGTCGCTGACCTTTGACTCGACAATCACAGCGCGACAGTTAAGGACACACAACTGACTCGTTACAGAGCAGTTGCCCGAGTCGCACTGTATCGAACCGCAACAGCAATACAGTTATCTACCTATCTATTCGTATTCCCTGTACTCTTATATAAATCCTTGTATTTGCTTGTTTAATTCAATCTACTTTGCTCTCACACACCAGTGCAAGGTCGGTTCACAATCCTCATTAAACGCTTCCGCTATTACAAGTTTCTACCCAAGAGTTCTCCTCTGCAAAGATCCTAAGGGCTAATTTTCAGCCCAACAATCATCACTACTGTTCGTTGTTACTACATCAGCTCATAGGACCTGTAGTTCTTGGCAGGTGGGCTTACTTCTTAGTGTTCAGGATCTTATTGCCACACATACGTCAGTGATCAAGGTTGTGATGTGAGGACAAGGATGGCTACTGATACTGCTGTCCCATGTCTAACTTATCATAACAGTGCACTCACTGTTCCATACCAGAAGTCTATGACTCTACGATCTAGGTTAGTCTAGATTTGCGTGGCATTCCATTCATTCTTGTTGTCAGCTTTCGCAGCCAAAGATGTCAGACAGCCTGCTAGTAGATTCACTGTACAACTGTTCCAGCTGAATTTGCAGCACGGCTGGTTCTTCCATAGTGCTCTTTTGATGCCTGATGCCCAGACATGTCATGCCTCCTTCCAGTCAGCAATGGGCACAAGTGTGCCCCACGATGTTCCCACATGCAGCTTCACTGATAACGGAACTGCTCAGATGAAGCATGACAAGTGCACACATGGCAAATAGGGAGAGAAAAAACAGTCAGAGAGTGAAGCAAGGTGAAGGGAGGTAATATGCAATGATAACAGCTCTGGAACTTTACCATCACGGTTCATTGACTCATTCACTCATTGAGAGGAGCTTACTCTTACTCTTCACAGTACCTGCAAGAGTCATGGCATTCTCCATGCATGTCTGTAGCAGCTCCCTTGCAGACTGCAGGTAGGGTCGCTCCACCTCAAGCACCAACTCATCATGGATCTGACACACACACACACAAACCACCACAACCAGTAACCAAAGATAAGGTTAGCAGATTACCAGTTTCGTTACCAGAGCCAAGGCAACAAGTCACATGCTCTGCCTCAAAAGGTTAGAAGGAAAAGGAGAGGGATCTGGGAGACGTGAGACAAGAGTTGGAAAAAATGGCTCACTGTGGAGGAGAAAGTTACCTGCAAAACCAGCCTGCAGTGGCCTGCAGGGGATGATGCCCCAGCAGCAGGAGGGAGAACAGAGGGGCACTGAACATGCGAGAACTGCTGCTGAGAAGTGAGAATCGAGGATGATGAATGTGGAAGCACAGCCAACGCCAGCCCACCGGTGGATGCTTGTTGAGCCTGTGCTGTTGTGGTTGCTGTTGTAGCTGCGGCTTGAGGAGCTGCAAGATCAACTGCTGGTGCTGCTGCATCCGGTGGTGGTGCTGATGCTGCTGGCTGGGTGTGAACAGGTGGGGCTATGGCTGCCTGAAGACGGACCATGGCCAGTTTGATGAGGTCTGCTGCCGATCCCTGTTGAGAAAAAAGCAACCAGAGAGTCAGACAAGAGGCTTATGAGGTAGTGAGTAACAAGGTCGCTTCAGAAATTTTATAAGGGGACGTGGGACAAGCCTTGGCAGGAAACCAAAAAAGGAGAAACACAACGGCACTTGTGACATGGCAAGCACGTGCAAAGAGTGCTGCGAGCAAATGCGTGTGGCAAGGGTATGCTTGAAAGACGAGACCCACTCCCCTACCTGGCAGATGGAGTTGACAGCCTGGCGTTGTGCCTTGGCCTTGTCTGCACTACTTCTATTGTTGATATTCTCCAAGAAACGCCTCCTCCCACATAGTGTCTGAATATACCTGCAAGACCAGTGAAACGCAAAATTGCAAGATAAAAGATTTGTTATGAAACGAGCGGTACGAGCAGACCCAAGCCAGCATCCTGCCCTGACATGCACAGCACATGCATAATTCCAACATACGTACCCTTTACTCCTGCATTCCTTCACAGCCCTGTCCAGCCATCTATCCACCTCAGGGAACGACTGCAAGAACCGCTTCCTGTATTTTCTAGCCTCTTCCACGCTGCACCCAAGCTGCTGACCCAGCGCACTGTTCCCCATGCCGTACAGCAGCCCGTAGCACAGGCGCTTGGTTCGGTCCCGCTCCGCACTGGTGACTTGAGGCTCGGGAGTGCCGGACCAGCAGGCAGCCATGGTGCGGAAGAGGTCTCCCGAGGGGCGAGAGAGGAGTGAGATGAGGGCTGGATCCTTGGAGAAATGAGCCATCAGGCGGACCTCAATCTGAGAATAATCTGCCACGAGCAGTAGCCGAGAAGGCTGCAGGGGGGATGGAGGTTAGACAGGAGCATGGGAGGTGAGGAATGGTGAGGTGATGTTAGATGCTTGAAGTATGTCAGTGCTAAGGCATCAGAGTGATAAAGAGTTTAGAATTCTGCACAGATTTTAAGCACCTGTGATGGGACGACGACTGCACGTGGGTTGATCTCCAAACGCACTTGCCGCTTGCCCCCGCTGCTGCTGCCACCCTCCACAAGCCCCACCACGACCGCCTCACACCACCTCGCCTCACTCCCCTCATTCCCTACGTTCTCCTCCTCCTCAGCTTGCTTCGAACCCTTGTTTGCAGCATCCTGCCTACACATACTCGTTTCTACTAGTACCGACTTGAGAGACTCAGGAAGAAGATCCTCATCCAGAATGAAGCTTGTCGGCTTCTCCATGCACTACAAGATGGCCAGTCAGACAATCAGAAACAGGGTTTAGGATGGGAAAAAATAGGCAGGGCCGATGGGCAAGGGGGACGGAAGGTGTGGGAGGGGTACTTGGAAGTTGGAGGGAAGGGTAAGGGGACCAAGTTGGCAGATGCAAGGAGGAAAAAATAATAATGGAAGGATCAAGAGCGGCAACCAGTCCACCTGCAGGTTTGGTTCTTCCATGGAAAGGCGTCCTGTTGCTGTTGACGTCTGCAGCCACCGACCATGCACTGTGTAGCATGTCCGCCCCTTGCCTTCCTTCCCTCCCATCTCCACATCACCACCTCCTCCCTCGGTTTCTGCCCTGCTGCTCTGGTCCGCTCCACAAGCCTGCATTTCCAAGTCGTTGAGAAATTCCCTTGAAAGACTGTGATGGTCTTTCACTCTGTGCAACAGGGTGTTGATGGTGGCACAGAGCTTGGCTATGCAGCGGTAGTCTTGAATCACTGCTGCTATTGGGTGCTTCGGCCTGTAATGCACATGACGGGTGGGGAGAGGTACGGAAGTGGGACAGACGAAACTTAAAGCAGCTTTAAATATGATGAACACTGAAGAAATGAGCGACAGAATTGGGGAGTGGGAGGCAAGTGGGGCCAAGCACTTGCGGCCAAGCAAGGAGGCTTGAAGAGGTAAGAAAAGGGGAGCATACTTACGGGACTTACTTTAGGAACTCCAGAGCTGCTTTGTCTGTTGGCCCGGGCTGTGACTTGGGCCCTTTCGCAACGAAGTTGGGGGGAACTGGAAGTGCAAGGGTCTTGAAGAGTATAATGGCGAGCTCGCTGGGGTTGGAGAGCATGAAGGGTCGCCCCACCATCTCATGCGCCGCTTCCTCCAGAGCAGTCACCTTGGCCCGCAGGACTCTCCTCAGGAGCATGCACTGACGCATGTCCACTCCCACGCCCAGAAGCTCCATAGACGCAACCACAGGAACCTGCATCCCGGTGGTAGGGAATGGAACGGACATAAGGGCCCACGACAGGGGACAGAGGGGGGGATTTGCAGGGGGACGAGTTGGGAGGGAGGCGACCAAGACAGTGGACAAAAAACAAGGGTTTTGAGGGGAAATGTGGCAAGAGTTGCAGCACTGCGCACTGGGAGAAGAGTGGGACATGCTGGATTTGTAAGCGGCAGGAGCAAGACAATGAGACATAAGACAGGGCGTACCAGTGGCATCTCGTTCTGCATGAGAGGCTCCTCCAAGCACTGGGAGAAGAGGCGCTTCCACAGCACATCACAGAGCTCCCGCACTTGTGCGGCTCGCCTGCAGCAGCCATCCCGTGCAGCCCGCCCCAGCTGCGCCTGCCACCTGCCCGCTCGCTGTGCCCTGGCTGCTGCTTCTGCAGGGAGTGTGCTGGCCACTGCCTGTATATGCATGCACGGTAAGACAACAGCAAACAGCAGCATCCAATCAAGAGTTTGGTGGATTTGGCTCAGTGAGGTGAAGGGGGGAAGGGGGAAGTATATTGAATGACAGGCATTTGGGAGGTAGGACAAGGGGGCAATAACAAAGCATGCATGCGGTGTTGAGACTAAAGAAGATTGGAACACAAAGGAGGAGGACACATTCCACTGAAACAATGGGGTGTCATCGGACAGACCTCTTCAATGGTCTTCTCCTTGTTGCTCTCGCCATCTGGATCAAGAGCCCATGCCAGCAGACGCATATCAAGAATCGAGCCTGCAACATATGCTGCTGGGAGCGGCTGCAGTACCCATCCTTGCCTCACTTCTCCCTGCACTATCCCACCCCCAGCCCCTGCTCCTCGTGCTGCTTTCGACTGTAACCAGCTCTTCCCTCCTTGCTGCTGCATCTGATCCAGCCGAAGCTGCCCGTCTCCCCAGCTGCCATACAATCCCCCTTGCTTTTGCACCCCCGATTCATTCGGCAGCTCATTCACCCCACCCTGCCCCAGCACTCCTTGGCCCAAAGCCGTCAACTGGAGGGGTAGGAGCTCTGGAGGGCAGCGTACAGCAGGGCATGAGAGCACCATTAAGGCCACCTTCGCATCCCAGAAGACTTTCTTCTGTCCCTGCTGTGACAGCATCTGGCGAACCTGGTTCCACCGATCAACCACTGATCGCCACCATACCACCCTATCCTCCTCTACTTCCCCATCTCCAGCACCCCGTACCTCCTTTCCTTGTCTCACAAGCTCTTCAGATTCTACTCTTGTTGCCCCTCTGGAGTCCCTTCTTTGCTGATTAACCCGAGGAAGAACCACCAGAGCCAGGTAGAAGACAGGGGAGCCTTTCCAGCACACTGAAACCCCTTCTAGCTCAACTGGCCGCTGTCCATATCCAGTTTTGTAATCCCCGGCTGTATGCAGGTCTATACAGTACTCGCTCTGCTCCTCCCACTGGCGTATGAACTGGGATACGCCACCGGGGAGTGAGTGAACGTCCACAGGACCATCCCTGGGCATGCAAGTGCCAGTGGACGGAGCATGATGCTGAGCGAGGGAGGTGTTTTGAGGGTAATTACTCTGGAGAGGATGTGAGGGGGGTTGATGGTTCCAGTGATGCTGTTGATGCTGTTGTTGCTGCTGCTCATGGTGATGATGTTGGTGGGAAGTAGGCTGAGGATGGATTAATGCCACATCGTTTGAGGATGGGCCTGTAGTTTGGCCGTAAGAGCTACGGATACAAGGCACCAATGCTCCAGCGCCAAAACCTCCAGGTCTTCCAGCTGAATCCCCAGAGAACAATCGGGTATGCGGTTGTGCAGCCTCAGGAGCAATCAGTCCGGTACCAGCAGCAGCTGCAGCTGCTCCTGTAGCATTGGCCATACAGGGAGCCTCTCGTTGACCAGCTAAGGCACAGGCTACAGCATTGTCCACTGTGCGAACGAGCTGTGTTGCTGTTAGGCTTGTCCCCCATGGGTCCGCTCCCGGGGAAAAAACGTGCTCCGCCTTTGCTGCAACTCCACTAGCGACACCGGCAGAAGCAGAAGCAGGCGTAACAGGTAAACCGTCAACATTGGCACCAGCAGCAGCAGCAGCAGAAGGAGGAGGAGTAGGAGGAGCAGCAGGAGCAGCCAGAACAGCTGGAGCAGCAGCAGGAGCATCCACCTCTCCAGACTGAACTTGATCCCTGTCTTCAGGAGCTTCTTCTTGGGTAAGCACATCCACAGCGAATTCAATGTCCTCCATGGTCTCATCTGGAGAGTCCTTTATACCTGCTGGTGGATCCTTATCATCGGCACGGTTCACAGGAGCAGCAGCCCCACCAGCAACAGCACCATCGCCACCACCACCATCACCACCACCACCTCCATCACCACCACCACCACCACCACCCACTGCCTCTTGTCCACCCCTGCTTTGCACTGCATCTGCTGTTTGTGCTGTTTCAGGTGCTGCAGCTGCTGGTGCCGATGAATCATCCAGGGAAACGAAGGTGTGCAGAGCCTTATCCAGTCCAGCTGGAATCTTCATTCCCAGTGATCGCATCTTTGTGAACATCTGTATCCGCTCCTCCTCTGCCTTCTCCAACAGCACCTTGCGAGCACCTGGAAATGAAACAAAGGGTATGTGCGTGTCAGAATTTCTTGAATTGTAGAAGACAAAAGGATGAGCGGAAGAAGAGAATAGGAGATTGTAGTGTACAGTGATGCCAACTCACCCCTGCGAATCTTCCCAGCAATCATTGCTTGAGCACGCGCTGTTGCAGCCTTGCCTGTGGAGATGTCAAGAGATGGAACGACCGCCACAGAAGCATGCATGCATTGTGAGAGCATTGAATGTCGAATGTTGCAGAAAGAAAGAAAGCGTTAACTGTTCAAATCGAGCACACATACCTCCCCATGAGAAATCAGAGAGAGCTTTGGCGATCTCAGCAGCAGAGGCCTCGGCCACAGCCTCTGTGGTCCGCAGACCTGCCTTGTACAGGGCACGTGCACGTGCAGCCTGATGGGGTTGTCACCAGAGAACACAGAGGAACACACAAGAAAAGGACGATGGGAAATGCTACAGCTGCAGCAGGACGTAAATGTGAAGGGAACTGCTTACAGGGCAATGAACTCGTCATAAGTCAACATGCGAGGTTTAATGAGCTCACCTTTACAAAGGGAATTTCTGTGAGCTCCACAATCTCTGAGCGCACACCAAAGTACACGCGATGCTGGAAGTTGGAGAGAAGAGCCTGCATGTCTGCATACTTCAGGCGCTCGCAGAATGAGGTGACCATGGAGGCAAAGCGGCCCGCATTATCCTGCAATTGCTGAACCTGCCCTCTGTTCACACCAAACCTGTCACACACTTCTCCAATAGGCGCCTCCTGTAAGGTAACCGGTAGAGGATAGGGGTTGGACAGAATCAGGAACTGCAATTGTGAGCCTTACAAGCACAAGGCTTCATCTAATTACAGCAGGTTTGCCTTTTTTTCATAACTAGATTCTGCTGCAGAGCAACCCCGATTTGGATGAACTTTACCTGTACAATCTGGGACAGCACAAGGGCTGAGAAGAACCGCCGGCAGACACGCTCGGTTTCCGAAACACTATTGATTGGCACACTGCCCTTTGGCGAGTCTGCTACTTCATTCTTTCCCTTCCGACTGCAGCGCCCCATATAGGTGCGGGCACTGCCATGCGCCTTGCTGGCAAGAAAGGCCTCTGTCACCCCCACGTTTTTGGCAACCCTTTGGTCGATCTCCGAGAGTCGAAGAAACTCCTGGTAGAATATCTTCCAGTCAGGGTCAATCATTGTGGCGATCGGGGTCACCTGCAAGAGAAGAGAGGAGCAACGATAAGCAGCAGAAGGCAGTGGAAGTTGAAGCACCAACGCAGGAAACGAAAACGCAACGAAACAGCAGGTACACATGACGCCACCAATGGGAGAACTGCAGACGGACCTGGTAACAGTGGTGCAGGTCAGTGGCGAGGAGACATCCCCAGCATCGAGTACGGTCCAAGTCCTTGAAGACCAGCTGAGACTCCTCAGGAGTCATCGCGCTGCAAAATGCTGCCTGGCCCAGTGGGGTCGGTGACCAGGTCTGTGTTTCATAGTTCCATTCGATCATAGATGAAGACCGGAGCTGGTTCAAGGATGCCTTAGCTGAGGCACTGACCTGCAATGCAGGTGAAGGAATTAGCGTGTGGGGACCGGTACGTGTGGGTGGGGACCAGGGGCAGGCAGGAAGACATTCAAGAACAGTTATTTATGCGTGCAATCACAGAGAGGGATAGAGGCCAGCGGGACTTGTTGCCCTCGTAAAAAGGCCAGTGAAATTCCAATGTAACATCCATGACCATGTTTCCCTGTTCTGGTAGTGGTAGCTCTTTGCTCACGAACATATAGGTACTCGCCTGCTCCATCCATGCAACCCTCTTAGATGCATTGGTCTGCCAAAAAAAGTACTAGGTAAGAGAAGATACGAATATCATGGCAAACGCAAGCAACAGAAATAGAACCAAGAGGTGAATTATGTAAATGCAAAAGGTGAAGGAGGAGGAAGAGTCTGCAAGAAAAGAAAATGAAGCTTACCTCCTCAAACGACTTCAGAGTGCTGAGAAGTGTGCAGGAGACATAGCGACCAACATCCACACTCGTCTGCACAATCCCGGCTGCCACAACCTCCAGCAGTGCACGCGACATGCACTTGTAGGCCTCGGACAGACATGACGCCAGGGGCTGGCAACCCTGCTGAATCATCTCCTTCACCCACGATACCTCCTTTGGATGGCATATGAGGACCTGTAAGCGAGGATGGCGGAAAGCGGAAAGCCACAGAGGAAGAAAGGTGTTGGAGAGAAGAGATGAGATCCATGTTACGACACAATAGCATCAAGCCTCAGACGCTGAAGCACAGAGATTGTAGACTTATTTGAGTCTGAGGAAACAATGAGCTGGGCACGTAGGAAGAGGAAGTGAGTGAGGGGCTGGAGGGGTGTGGAAAACACAATCAAGCAATTCACTTCAGCAAATAGCACTTACACTTTCTCCCTTGTCATCAATCCCTGCTCTCCCAGCTCTACCAGTCATCTGCCGGTAGTGTGTCGCGTCCAGGTTATCCATGCCCATCTTTGGCTCCCTCAGTATCACGCGGCGTGCTGGCAGGTTAACACCTGCTGCTAGCGTAGACGTGGCAGTGAGCACTCTCACAATGCCACGACGATAGCTGTGCTCAATGATCTCCCTCTCCTCCGTCTGCAAAGCATGACATGGATTGATACAGAGGACAGAAACAGAACAAAGGGAGGGAGGGAGGGAGGAATGTCGAGATTACAACCTCATAGTAGACAAATGAAAAGCTTGTAGAGCACTGCTCGGCAAGGAACACAATCTTTAAACGTGAAAACACCACAAATGGAAGAGTTAAGACTATCAGGGCCTCAACACTTGCCAAGTCCTAAAAAAGAAGCTCACCGTTAGGCCAGCATGGTGATAAGCCACGCCGGCAGGTATAGACTGAGCAAGAACCTGGTCAAGACCAGAAGGAGTGCGCTTCAGAGCCTCCAAAACATCCTCTGGAGTGGAGATCGTGTCATCTGGTTCAGATCCGCGGTTGACAGGTCTGAAAGGAGGCAGGAGCTTCGCGACATGGAGTGCTGTCTTTTGACAGTGGGATCGACCCGAGCAGAAGATCAGCACCGAGTGACCCTCACTTAGAACCTGGATCAAAAGCAGGAGTTGGAACAGCAAATGATAACACATGGTACGTAAAGGACGGTGGAAGGAATTACAGGCAGGAACGAAAGAAACTGGAACGCTGAGGCGAGTGACCACGTAGATACTTAGTGCCTCACCTCATTACACAAAAACACTAGGTTATCTTTGTCATCTGGATTCGGCGGCACAGTGCGACAGGGGTTCATGAAGGTGTCATAGATCGTGTTCCCAACTTTGATGAACTCTTGCAGGGGAACTGGCCGAAAGTCAGTCTCATAGAGCACAGCCTGAAACCACAGCACATACAAATGAATCATTAAGCCTTAGCATCATGCATCAGATCAGATGGACAGCTCATGGGGATGTAGAAGACGGGCTTTGAGCGAGTATGATCAAAACAGGGGAGATGAGCAGTGAGATAAACACTTACATTCAACCACTTCGCAATGGCAAAAGTGTTTCGCATCGTTGCACTCATCCCCACAATCTGCAACCCTTCCCCCTCCGTCTTGCCACTGCTTCCCCAACCAGCTCCTGTGGAGGGGCTTCCTCGATCACCACCTTTGGCTGGTCTTGAAGCACCAGCAGCATCAGCTGCAAGAGGCTTTGTCGTGGCCCCTTTGGCAGCATCAGGAGGGGAGCTCTTGCCAGCGGATGAAGAGCCCAGGCCTGCAGCATATCGCAGCTTGGTCAGGAGCAGCTCAAGCAGATAGCCCCTTGCAGGATCCCCAACCTGGAAATTATACGGAATGGCAAACGAACTTGTGAGTCAGCTTGTAGATGGACTGGCGCATGTACGCATGCAAAACTGCATGTCGGAAGCAGAGCATCAAACCAACAAGCAAATCCTAACAAGAAGAGAGGAACGGCTTTACCATATGAAGCTCGTCAACCACCACCATTGCCACCTCTCCCAATCGCCCTTCCTCCAGCAGACGGTTCACAAGAGCGTTTGCCTTCTCAATAGTGCACACAGCCAGATTGGTATCTGGAGGGAGTACTGATCCTCCCTGTGCACCAAAGAAATTGCGCACCCGATAGCCCAAAGGTTCCAACACTGCCTCCATATGCTCTGCCTGCCAAAAATAGCGAACAAATGTGCACATAAGTCTAAACTTCTTTCTGAGGATGTCTGCGAATGAAATGCTACTCCTAGAGACAAAAAGTCATGACTTTATCCCCAAATACCTTTTCAGCACATATGGAGACATACGGCAACACCAGCAATGCCTTCCTTCCAGTCGCAATCAACCTTCTCACCAGCAGCACCTCTGCAACAAGACTCTTCCCAGCACTGCAAGTCGAGGAGTATGGAATCAGTATATAAGCATACAAAGTGAGACAAATAAACTGTGGAGACAACACCTTGTCGATGCGCTGTAGACCAGATTCTGCCCATGAAGCACACGTTCTTTTGACAAGCACTCCACCTGAAACACGATTGCAAAACTGGTTAATCACAGCAAAACCATCACAGAGGAAAATCCGCCGATTACATGATTATACCTGCCACGGATACATCTTGGTAACTCCTTTGCGAGCATATGCCTTGCAGGCTGGGGAAGGGAGCCACGCTGAGAGTTGCAGGTCAGCCGTTGCCGCAGACGACCCAGGGGAGCCAGATCCCTTTAGCAGAACCTTCTCTACTGGCTGCTCCATCAATGCTTTCCCTTTATCTTCTTGTGGGGCAATATCACGCTCCAGTTTCTTCGCCACTTTGAGGTTTTCTCCTGAACGAGCTGCAGCTGCACCCTTAGGCAGCGGACGGGGAGGTTTTTCTGCACTAAAATCCAGGTATCGAACTGGAAGAGGATCCAGGGATCCCGGAGACAAAGGCCTTGGTGCTGGTGGTATGGCTTCCGTTCGTTGGCGAAACCTTGGGCTCCCAAAACCACCCAACACTCCCCTTGTTCTCGTTCCACAGCTTGCACTGCCTTTGTCATTCGCTGCTGGCTGGTCCCTTGCAACACAGCCTTCTCCCGGAACGTCCAAACCAGAACCATCAGCAGCCATAGGAGGAGCCATTCTGGCACCTTCTTTATTATCATTTATTCCTGCCTTGGCTTCCACCATCGCAAATGCCTTTTCCCAAAACGAATCCCCTGGGGAATGGTTCTTGATGCTCCATGGTCGGCTACCGGAAGCTGTGCTACCAGCCCTGCCACCGTTTCCATTGACAATCTCTGCGCCTGGCTCGCCTTTTGGAGTAACATAACGCTGATCTTGTGCATCCCCGCTTTCACTGACATCCACTTGACACTGTTGTCCAGAATGAGGCTTGGTGAATGTACCGCATGTTGGAACGACAGCTTCAGTCTTCACAATGGCTGCGGCATCTTGAAGTGGATTAAGCGGTTCTCTTGTTGTCTCATTATGTCCCTGCACGGGAAGAGTTGTGTTAAAATTCCTAATAGGTATAATTGCATCTGGTGGGGTTACCTCTTCCAGTGCACTCCCACATGCCCTGTTCATTGAGAGAACCTCTGGCGATGAGCTCTCCTTCCTGAGAAGTCGTGAACAATCATGCTGTACAGGGACTGTCTCGGTGGTCCCATTGCTGCTAACTTCAGCACCTCCTTCAAGCGTACAAGTTTCCGCTGGATAATCTGATTGAAGATTATTGCCTTGAAGACCTCCGATACCAACTGCAGCAGTTCCTTCTGCAAATACGGGGTCGTCATTTTGAAAGGACGAAAGGAATGTTGTGATTTTTATGCAGTACGATATTTTCCATATATTGACTGTTTACCACCCTGGTCAATCCACAGGGATTACAAGGATTGTCACACACCTGGTCCGCTGGCTCGAACGTCAAGGGCTATTGAGGATATAGCTCCAGCAGTCGCATGTGAAGGCCTGCAGTCAAAAAGAAGGTTAGCAAAACGGACGATACGACTTCAATCCCACTTGGAGAAAACAACCCTGCATATTTCGAGTTTGTCCATCTTGATATAGACCGTACCTGTAAAACGTATCTGCAATGTCAGCGGGAACTTTATTCGAATTTGCACGTAAGGTTGGAGCACCCTCATCACCTGACAAGGAAGGAATGTATTGAATGAGATTGCTAACAAAGCAATGAAAATTAAACAAAAATAAATAAACAGCCATTAAAACCCATACAAACCAGACGGTAATCGTTCAGCCTGAGCCTCATACAACCCCTGTTTGTCAGCTGGACCGCTTGCCTTCTCCTGTCGCCTAGGTTTCTTGACTGGAAATGCCTGATAGATGAAGAAGACGCAGACAGAAGAAAAGTTTTGGCAACAGTACTTGAATCACCTCTTCTGCGTACATGAAGAAGGTAGAATTAGGTGTACAATGATCACCAATGTATGGAAACTATCGCTAATGGATACTGGCTGACTTCATGTCTGCGAATCCAGCTCGCGATTTCGCAAGCGCTTGTCGTGAATGACGAAAGATTGAAGATACTATACCGCTCGTTATATGTTGCAAGAACGTCACAAACCTCTTGCAAGGATGTTTGACGCTTCTGCTTAAGACTAAGAGATACGTCTGGTTGCTCCATGGCCTGCTCGGTGAAGCTGCAACGCTGAAGGACCAGGATAGCGTCTGTCAAAACCGATCATTTAGAAACATGAATCCTTATTGATCAGAATTCCTTGCGTAACAAGGAACGGAAAAAACACATTGACGAAACGAACCGCTTTTGGCGCAAAGCAGGCAGAGCCGTTCGAAGTGCTGGCTGGGTCATCACACCAGCAGTAGCAGGAGTAGCAGCATGAGGAAGCATTGTTCTAAGACATTCAGCACCATTGCATGGCATAGTGTACAGTATGGTCATGGAGGGGATGGATTGAGATTGTGTAACTTATTCTTCTGCTGAATGTCCACCGTCCGATGTGCGTCACGGGCATATTGGCAAGGGAAGTCCCCACCCCAAACCAAAGCTAACCAAAGCGAAGCAGTGTACAGACTGCGAACCTGAACAAGCCTGGCTGACTGTTGGCGGGAGCTTATTTGATTGGGCGACATGCGTCAGCCCAATTCGTCATGTTACAAGTTTTCATATCAATACTTCAATATTTCAAAAATATTCAAATGAAACCTCCAGTACTTTGGCACTAACACATACTATATCGAAGGAAAGATCAGCAAAAATACTACTGACCCATGCCGCCAAACCAAGACTATTATTTTTATGGGTTGTGATTCACAAGATTGCTATTTTGGGATTTCAACAGGGTCGGCGTTAGTATCTAGGCGGTCTGATTTGCTATGAAGGCATAGTGCTAGCGTAACGGAAACCGTTTGTAGAAGTTAATAGAACAAGAAACTTGCAACAGAGAAATGGATTGAAAATGACTTTACAAAGCAGGGTATTATGCAAGAAGCTACCCCCCATCCACACCAATACCAGCACCAAATGCAGGGTTGGCGTTTCACTTTAGGGCTCCCTAATACCGGTTAGGAATTTTCCTCTGTATTATGAATGCACATTATTCAGAAGATTGCCACCATGATGGCTCAGGATTCAACAACTAGTAACTCTGATTTTTCAGGGTCGACAACATGAATTCAGGGTCTGGGTTCAAATCCCACTTTGTTCATTACTGCAATGTACATCATGTACAACATTTCCTCCTCCATTGTCTACTCTGTGAAAGAACGAGGCAAGGATGAAATAGCAAGCAGGTGGGTACAAGTAGGAAAACCTAAAAGTGTTGTACCCCAAATTGTCTAACCCACTACAGCCTACAGAGACTATAGCATATGAGTTTGACACACCCCCATAGGCAAAGTGGGGGAGAACAAGAGGTCACAACACCAGTCAAGCAAAACAAAACAAGCTCAGGGTGGATCACAACGTCACCACACATTTCGAGCACAAGTTCAAGGCCAGAAGGCCAGTTCATATGCAAGATCATATATAAAGGTAAACAAGCAAGTGCAGGTATAGAAAGATCACAGTACAAGCAAGGTCAAGAAGTGAGGAAGTGAGGCCAAGTAAGCACAAGACCTAGCATCATACAGAACCGCTGATGATCACAAGGCGGAAGTGCCTTGGTAAAGGTATCAGCAGTGTTGGCCTCAAAGGCCACGTAAGCAAGGCGCAGCTGACCACGCTGCTGCAGCTCACGAGCAAGGAAGTAGCGAAGAGCAATGTGCTTCGTTTTGTGCTCCCGACACAAGGCCAGCATGGCCTTGTTGTCTACGTATAGAACTGGAGGAGAACGAGGCGGCTCTCCTAGGTCCGTCAGCAGGTAGGTGAGCCAGCGTAGCTCCTGTGCAGCCATGGCCCCCGCGTAGATCTCAGCCTCATAGCTGGAGCCGAGAACAGAAGACGAGCGGGTAGACCGCCACGAAACAGAGCCGGAACCAAGGCTGAAGGTGTAACCCTGTGACGACCGCTGCGTAGCCTGGTCGTCAGCCCAAGAAGCGTCTGCGTGACCTGTGAGGACCACTCGACGTCGCCCTCCAAGCACTAGCCCCATGCCCGACGTACTGCACAAGTAGCGCAACACCCTCTTCGCTGCAGCCATGTGCTCTGGTCGGTGTCTCCCAGGAGCAACATAGCGTGCCAAGATGCTAAGAGGGTATGCAAGGTCAGGTCGTGTGCAGGTCATCAAGTATATGAGGCAGCCAACAAGCTCTGGGTACGGGCCACTCGGCTCTACGGACTCATTTGAAGGCAGAGCTGAGAGCGAGTGGCGAGTAGACAGAGGAGTGGCCTGAGGCGAGGAGTACGTGAAGTCGAAGCGCTGAAGGACCTGCTGCACCATGTGTGACTGAGTCAGGGTAATGGTGCGCTGTGCTCTGTCCCGGGTGATCTGCAAGCCAAGGTAGCTGCGTAGTTCACCCAGGTCTGTGGAAGTATGTCTCTTCTACAGCTCGGACTTCACATGGGCGAGTCCAGCAGTGGCAAAGACCAAGTCGTCGACGTACACGAGGATGTAGAACGGCGGCAAAGAGGTGTCAGTGCGCAGAAACAGCGACAGGTCGGCAGTAGAAGGAGCAAACCCAAGAGCCGCAAGTGTAGTCCTCAGTGTGTCGTGCCACTCACGCGGTGCCTGGCGGAGACCGTAGACTGGCCGCCGGAGGCTCCACTGGGTGCCAGGAGGAAAAGACCCAGTGAAGCCAGGTGGGCGGCGCAGCCAGATCTCCTCGTTCAGACTGCCCTGCAGGAAAGCTGTGCTGAATTCAAGAGAGTGAAGCTCGTAGTCGCGCTGAGCGGCTATGTGCAGCAGCACCCGAAGAGTGGTCATCTTCGGGGTGGGAGAGAAGGTCTAAAAGTAGTCAATTCCCTGCCGCTCACTAAAGGCTCGAGCCACGTAACGCGCCTTGAAGACAGGCGGAGAACCCGACGGCCGCTTCACCCTAAAAATCCACATGCCACTGACGATGTTCGCCCCAGGTGGGGGAACCTCGTCGACGTAGGTGCCTGTGGACTTCCAGGAAACCATATCTGCGTCCATGGCTGACTCCCACTATGAGGAGTAGGGACCCTCGATCGCCTCAGCGTACGATCGAGGAGTCGGGATGTCTGGTGCATCCAGGTCTCCCTCAGGGGCAATCAGCGTGGACACGAGATGAGGCAATGCAGCAGCAAAGCAATGGAACTCCTCCTGCTTGTCCTCAAGGACGTCCGTGCTAAGAGCACACTCACCCCCGACGGACGGAGGACAGACAGAGTCAGACTTAGCAACAAGACTAGTGGCGTAGTCTAGACGACAGCGAGTAGCAAAGTCGACAAGCTCAGCAACCAAGGCAGACGCAGCAGTGGACTCAAAGGAAGGGTCAGTGACAACAGTAGCAATGAGACGCGTGACAGTAGGACTGCCAGCACGAAGAGAGTCAGACTCCGGGTCACTAAGGACAGGAAGAGAGGACTCTGGAGGAGACGGCAACAGTACACGCATAGGAGCAGTGGAAGGACGGAGTGCCATCTGGTGTGTGCCCGCGACGACAGGAGGACGCGAACGCGGAGAACGACTACTAGTGCGAGCAGCACGAACAGGCGAGGCAGGACGAGACGCAAACGCACGACGCTCAGCAAGACCTCCAGTAGGACTAGTGTAGGGAGAAGAAGCAGGCAGGGGGGAGGCGGGCTGTAACTGTGACTGCGTTTGGACAGGCTGTGGACACTCTAAGGGAGGAGCAGGACCAGTAGAGGGCGGGAGACCAAGAACCTGCTCCAGGAGCGGAACGAAGTACGGCCGCGGCCGTGCAGCGCCTCCCAGACCAGCAGGGACAGCACCAGCACCCCTAGCGGCAGCACCAGCGCCAGCAGCATGTCCAGCTCCAACAGCGCCAACTCCAGCACCCTCAGAAGCACCAGCGCCAGCAGCACCTCCAGCGCCAACACCCCCAGCTGCTCCAGCTTCAGCACCTCGAGCAGGACCGTCAGCTCCAGTATCGCCAGCAGCTCCGGCAGTACCTCCAGCAGGACCAACTCCAGTAGCCCCAGCAGCACCCCCAGTCCCAGCAACTCCAGTACCGCCAGTACGAGCACCTCCAGGACCAGCAGCAATAGTAGCACCTCCAGCTCCAGCAGCACGGCTCCAGCGCCGGGCAAACCACTCGCGCAGCTCCTGCGAAGAGGGTAAGTCCCGCCTCGACGAAGCACCGCGAGAGGCCACACGAGCAGACCCAGCACCCCAAGGCTCCGCACCCCCAGGCTCCGTACCCTCTGGCTCCGCACCCCCAGGCTCAGCACCCCCAGACCCGGCACCCGCAGGCTCAGCACCCCTAGACTCAGCACCCCCAGGCTCCGCGCCCCCACGCTCAGCACCCCCAGACCCGACACCCGCAGGCTCCGCACCCCTAGCAGCACCAGAGTCAACAGCTACCTCGACAGGCTCGACTGCGTCTACCTGGGACACACCTGACGGGGCAGGACCCTGAGGGGGGAGAGGGTCTACTGGGGGAGGACCTGGCCCAAGGAAGAGCGGCGGGGGGGGGAGAGGCGCAGTGCAGTAGGGGAAGAGACGGTAGTAAGGCACCGACTCGTCAAAGGTGACGTCCTGGGAGGACAGAACACAGCGCGAGGTGGGGTGGTAAAACTTCCAACCGGGCACGTCAGGGGGGAAGCCAAGGAAGACGCAGGGAACAGCACGGGGGGACGGCTTGTCTGCAGACAAGTCGCGGACAAACGCCCGATATCCCCAGACACGAAACGCAGACGCATCGCCAACCTTCGTCGTCCACTACAAGGTGGGGGAGGTCTCTGGCAAGGAGACGCGGGGCTGAAGGTTGAGCTGATGCGCTGCGTACTGAACCGCAAACGGACACAGAAAATTGGGAGCAGCCGTATGGATCATGGACGTACGAGCGACGTCCATGACCATGCCAATGCGGCGCTCAGCAATCCCATTTTGCTGTGGAGAGGCCGGAAGCGTGAAGGTCTGGCGGATGTCCTGTTCACGACAGAAGGCTCCCAGAAGGGCAGAGGAAAACTCCCCGCCTCTGTCAGAGTGCAGACGCAGAACAAGAAAGTCCGAGCCGAAACTCTCTCTGAGCTGGAGACGAGCCGCGCGGATCCAGTCGATCAACACCTCAGTGACGTCACCCTTGCTGCGCAAGGGGAACAACGTGGTGTAACACGAGTAGTCGTCAACCACCAACAAGAAGTAACGCTCGTGATACTGGCCACGGACGCGGGCGGGGCCCCACACGTCCATGTGAAGAGTCTGCAGGGGAGCCTCTGTCGGAGGAAACTCGGAGGAGTGAGGGGCGGCGCGCTGCCGCTCCTCGACGCAGGGAACGCAGGTAGGGGCAGGCCCCGGAGGGAGGGACCGGGGGAGACCAGAGACAAGGACAC